AGAACACGCTTATCTCCCTGAGCCTGGCCTTTATAAGTCCATTCCATCACATCATGGAGGATGGTTGTTAGCCACCCAGGGTTATGTTCTGTATGTAAGATAGGCAGCCATATACATTTTATAAATAAATAAAATGAAATCCATCATTAAATTCAGCAATGCACTATTTTTTTTTCAGGCCATTGCTCTTGTTTTTGAGGTTATTTATTTAGTATTAAATTTATATGCCACCCATCTCCCTCAGAGGGTGACTCTGGGCGGCTTACAATGTGTTAAGTGATGTGTTGTGTGTATGGTCAGGAAAAACGATTTGATTTAGTTGAATTTACATTTAATACATTAATTGAAATGCAATTAATCTCCATAATTTAACTGTTTTCTTCTTTTATTTCATTGCAAACTTGATGGCAACTTGCAGCTTCTTCTGGAGTTTTTGGAAGCTGCATGCAAACCATATGTCTAAATTACATAGTCCTGTCTAAGCTTGAAGATTCCTTCCTGCTTCCATAGATGGTTTTTTTAAAATTAAAATATTGTTTTCTCTCCCAGGTGTTCCACCATTAACTGGCACAGGTACCATCGTACTATACCTCTCTGACCTTAACGACAATCCTCCAATGCTAGTTACGTCATCCTTGATGATCTGTGTGGAGAAAGGAAATGGTCCTTTCCATATAAAAGCTGAGGACAAAGATTCCTATCCATATGCAGAACCCTTTACGTTCTTATTGGAAGAGGGTATCAAAAATTCCTGGAAACTGGAAAAGAGCTCTGGTAAATGACTTCTAATTGGGAATTGCCATGTCCTTTGATTTCACCTCCATTCCTGGGAATGGAGAAAGAAGTATGGAAGTCTCGCAGATCATCAGCCCTTCAAGGCAGGCCAGGTCAAAAAATAAACAACACATGGATTCCATAAGTGCTACTTTATTGTTATAGGCTATAGTAACTGAATCTTGAAAACCTGTCCGAGTTTTTCTCTCTCCCATTTTATACTAAAGAAAATCAAGGTGGGATTGAGCTTCTTCCTCATGCTTGCTTCAATCTCTAGACTGTGTGTGTAATCACTTCTCTACATTCTTCCTTAGCAGATAAATCCCTTTATGGTATTAATAAAACAAGATTGGATTTTTTAACTGCATTCACACAACATGTTAATCAATGGATTCATGTTGGGGGTTTGTGCAATACATTAAACAGTAAATAAACTAAACAAGCTAGGTTCATCTAACACACTAAGCCAGGAAAAAAAAACCTTGTTATGTTCCTTCTGTGAACACAGCCATTGAGAAAGATTCTGTTTAATTTTGAAGTTAGAGGTTTATTTATTGATGTATGAGATTTATAGGCCACTGCAATCTATTACAAGTCAGGGTAGCGTCCAAAATACAACACTAAAGATACAATACAAATCCAGAATTATATCATCAAAAGAAAAAGGGAAAAATCAACAATCATTTAAAAGATAAGAACCTCACACAAGGATTCACCCCCTCTGATTCAGGACTTGTGGATAGAACCAGGTTTTAAAGACTCAATTAAATATGAACAGGGTGGGGATGAACTAATGTCAGGGAAAATGATATTTTGAAGGACAGATTCATGACAGAGGGACCATTCCTGAGTCTCACCAGGTGATATTAATCTATGGGACTCAGAGCAGACATGCTCTGTCTCATCATAAAGGATGGGCAGCAACTGGGGGATAGGCAGTTCCTCTGATAACCCAAGTCCTATGCCATGAAGGGCTTTCTAGATGATAATTAGCAGATTTCTTATTATACTGGGCATCAGCGCTATTTTCAGCTAGACCTACAGTTTCCTTTGCCATAGGAGTACTTGTTTGATTTGATCAGGAAAGGGGGGGTAAAAAAATTGGTAAGCATCAGGTCTGCTTTCTCTGTAGACTTCATACTGCTTATCAAGCAGAGGGGACAATTGTTGTACGCCCATATTCCTGAGCTCAGGAAGCTATGAGTATCCCAAGATGCTCCCTGACCACTCAAAAAAGGATAAAGAAATGTCCACCAGAAACTTGTGATCTTGTGAAACCTCAGAACGCTACAGCAGCCTCCCGTGTTCTTGCCCGTAAGAGTGAAATATCATGAGATGTTGATATTTGCTTGCAATTTCAGCTTCTTCTGTATGTGCTTGTGACATTATGTGATGGATCCCATTCTCTTCCTTTTTACATCTAAAGAGGACCCCGGCACTCGATTATACATGGTCCTCTTTTGTGCATTTAATTTCCTTTGGGAACTAAGGAGTGTTAAGAGTATACAGGAAGGAATGGGAGCCCTGGGGTGGTGAAGCACTTTAAAGATAAGTAATTAATGCTGGGGTATAATTTTTAATGATGTTCGTTCCTTTTCTTTGCTATTATGTCAGCAGTCCTTTTGCAGGCTTCTAAAACAGTGGGTGTTAGAATCCATTTCTTCAGAAATTTCCAGGGCAGGCTGGCCAGCTAACCCAATTTGTAGGAATTTTACCTACAGCATTTGTTAAAGGCAACCAGCTCCAGAAATGTAAAACACCCTTACTCCAGTGGGTAGCACTCAAATGTGTGAAGCTTCTAGTCCTTACTGCAATATCAGCATAATGACCTTAATGAGGCTAGTTGAGGAATGATGCATACTTTTGTTCCTTCTTGCTGTTTTCTAGGTAATTCTGTTGATCTTTTTATGCGGAAAATCCTCCCTCTCGGCAATTACTCAGTGCCTCTCCGTATACTAGATATGCAAAGTTTTTATAAGCAACAGAGTCTGCATGTCAGGGTATGCTCTTGTCTGAATAGGATCATTTGCGAAAAAGATCCTGAAGCACAGCTACTTGTTGGGGGACTAAGTGGTGGAATCGTGGCTATATTTCTATTATGTATATGTGAGTAACATGACAATGTATATATTTTGCTTTGTAGAAAATAGTGCACCATTTTGTGGTAGTTGTGCATGATACCTTATATCCACTATCAAAAACTACTCTGAATAGCTAGCCTCTTTCAGTTCAAAGTCCTAACTGATGCTTTCTCTAAAAGTCCTTTTAGCTTTTCTGAAAGTCCTAACTGGTGCTCTCTCTTCTGGGTGGAAATCCACAGCACTGAGATCAACATTGGAGAGAGAGCCTGCTCCATGTTTTCCCACATTCATTCTGGCAGATTTTTTAGCTGTAGTGCTTTGGTTTCATAATATTCTTCTGAAGGAAGTGGATCTTACGTAAAAATGAATGTTCAGGAATTTGTTTTGTAAGTTAATATGCTAACACACTAAGCCTTTGGTTGGCCAGGCATCAAAATAAGTGCCTCTTTTTCTGAATTATAGGAATTGAATCAATACATTGGTGCGTCATGTTAATCATTCTCTTTTGAGTCCTCCAAAACCTAGAATAGCTAAAGTAAGGCTACTAGATCTGATCTATAAAAGTCCAGATGGAAAGTCCAGTCTGCATGGAAGCAAAGAGAGTCTTCTGCATGTCTTTGTGGCCATCTAATGGTCATTTCAACTTTTGCAACCCAAATTTATTAAGCTAAACAACTCTGGAAGCTTCCATCTGTATTCTGTTTGACAGTGAACTCCAAGTGGGATCTCTGGCATCCTGCTTTTGTAAAACTCTGGGTCTTAAAACCAAGAATAATCTTGATTTGTTATTCTGATTTATGGTTTGGAAGAAGCCTAGACAAGCTGCAGGTGAATATTCCCTACTTTGTTTAGCCATTCCCATGGTCCACCTTCATCCACCATCACATTTAATCCCATTAAATCAGATTTCGGAGGAATTGTAATTAATTATGATGTGTAAAGTAGACCCTATCATTTATCTGATTATAATTTATTTCCACTCTTGCTTTGTACACCAACATTTGTATCCTATATTATTCTTAAAATCACCTTGTAGTCTGCCTTTGGATTGTTTCAGAGCTACAAAGAGAGGGAGTATGAAATGTTCTAAATAAATCTTACCTGAGTAAGTCAGGAGTTTTAAAACCTGGGCTTTTGAGCAAACAGTAATGACCTTGACTAAATTCCACATAATTCTAGTATAATAGAAGAACACTGGGTGGGTTGATACTTCATGCAAAGCTAAAACAAACCAGCCTACCTACAGCTTAACCCAGGCCTATATATGGACTGTCATGTAATATAGGGATGAGAGTGTGAAACAAGCCAGTGTGAGCAAATGCTGGAGGTCCAGAAGTTGGCCTACTGATCCTAAAGGAACCAAGATCCAGATGTCATTTTCTGAACAACTGGGCAAGATTGGTGGAACCTTTCTTTATTATTCTCCTTAACCTGTGTTTCCTAAG